GTAGAGCGTAGGGGTTTCATCTCACTGTTTAGCGTTGTTGTGGTCTGGGGGACGTCTGCCTGGCAACTTCACACCAACCTTAACCTTCGCAGAACCTGCTTTTGCTGTGCAGGGACCTTGGATCCTCCCGTTGCATAGGGTCCCGACCGGAGGTGTTGAAAAAAGTAGGTTCTGGAGGGTTGGTGCCTCTCGGGTGTGTCAAGGGTCTGGCTCAGCAAAATCCCTTCGCCCCCCCTCTCCCCCCGCCCCAAATTCCACACTAGGGAAGTTTCCGGATAGTTGGACAGACCCTATTACCCTATTGCCCTATTACCCTAAACCCTAAACCCTAAACCCTAAACCGTAAACCCTAAACCCTAAACCCTAAAACCCGAATCCCTCACCTTTGGGGCAATTCTGTCCGCATCTCGCCTCGCCTGCGCGCAACTCCCGCACAGAGCGAATTCACTCCGCTGAAGCAGCTCCAGACTCGGCTCGGGGGCTGGGACCTCCACCTGAAGCACTCCTAAACCCTGGACCCTCAACGCTCAACCCTCAACCCCAAGCCCTAACCCCCTAAACCCCTAAACCCCTACACCCCTAAACCCCTTGCACCCCTGCACCCCTAAACCCCTAAACCCCTAAACCCCTCCCTAAACCCGTCATGGACCCCACCCCAAAACTCACGCCTGAGTGCTTGGAACCCTTCCTGCGCCCAGAGCCCATCCTCGGAGTTGCGCTGTTCGCCCCGCGGTCGGAAGTGGTTCCTGCCGACGGTTAGGGTCACCGAAAAGCCCCAAAGCCCCAAACACCCCGAATTCCTGAAACCCCGAAACCCTATACCCTAAACCCTAAACCTTAATTAAACCCTATACCCTTAAACCCTATACCCTTAAACCCCAAAACCCTAAACCCTTAAGCCCTAAGCCCTCACCCCTAAGAACCTGCGGGACGCTGAGCCCAGGCCATCGGCAGCCGAGTCAGGCGTAGAGTTCTGCGGCCGCTGGGGCTCCAAACTGTTTGAGAACATCCGTGCTCGGCAGCTCTGTGTCGTCTTTCTCTTATCCACTTTGCGCGCTGTGAGCGTCTTAAGCGCCGTCGTATTTTTGTGGGTGACGTGTCGGAAAGCTGCCCAGGTCTCACAGATTGCACGCTGGAATTCTGCTGTGCGGTGTTGACCTGGTCCTGCCATGCCCCTGAAGCCGCTACACCCTCTTCCTCGAAACCCCATTCAACCCCGAGCCTTAAACCCTAAACCCCCTAACCCCTAAACCCTAAACCCTAAACCCTAAACCCTAAACCCTAAACCCCAAACCCCAAAGCCTAAACCCTAAACCCCCCGACCCAAAACCCTGAGCGCACAAGAAAAGGATCGCCTAAAGGTCCGAGGGCAAGGGGCGCAAGCCGGCGGGGGCCCAGAGGGGGGTTTGTAAGCTATGGGGTTTGTTTGGGGTTTAGGGTGTAGGGTGATGACTTGGGGGTTCGGGGCTTTCGAGCTTCCAGAGGGAAGGTTAAACGAGGGTTTTGGGGGTGTCAGAGGAGGTGTTAGGTTCATGGGCTGACTCCCCGTTTGCGGCGCGGCATCGCGGGACATGGGCAACGCTCGCACGCTTCCGTCAGCGGTTGCCTGCGGCAAGGGACAAAAGGAGCTCCTCCCGGGTCTTTTGGTGGATGATCGGAAGCCGAGGAGTTCAAGTGCACCAAACTTACTAACCTTGCGTTTACGAGAAGAAGGAACCATAGCATGTTTTGCTTCTTGTCATATCCGTGTATATGTGTAGTATAGTATTTGAATTTAAACTGCTTAGCAGCACCCCAGCCCTAAACCCTAATCCCCTCCCCCTAATATTAAACCACCCCTGCCCCATAATATTTAATACGCCCTGTATACTATACTATAACAATAGTGGGAGTAATAGTTTTTTTAGGGGGTAGGGGAGGCGAATACTAGGAGGGGATTGAACCCTGGACCTTAAACCCTAAACCCTAAACCCTAAACCCTAAACCCTAAACCCTAAACCCTAAACCCTAAACCCTAAACCCTAAACCCTAAACCAAGAACCCAAGCTGCGGTGCCAGCTCCTCCTGCGGAAGATGGCCGCGTCCATGGCCAATGTCTGCGCCTCCGCGGACGAGGCGAGCGCAGCCCTGTTTCCTGAGACACGCGCGACGTTTACAGTGAAATCTTCGGCATGAGGAATGTGGGTTACCATGTAGGGGAAAGTGGCTTCGGGCTCGGGGTTTCCCATGAGCGGGGTAGCAGACAAGACAGCATCTGTGCGCCCGAGATAGTCCCCAAAATCCCCAACCCAAAACCAAACCCCACACCCCAATCCCTAAGCCCTAAGCTCCAAATGCCATCATCCCACTTCGTGCTAAGCGTGGCAGGGCTTGCTCCCACTGCCCTCCAACATCACTTGCGCATCCTGGACAGCAGTGGGGTATAGGGTTTAGGGTTTAGGGTTTAGGGATATAGGGGCCCTGTTCACTTAGAATGGATTTCCCGGATGAACGTAAAGCTTAAAACGGGCCGCGCCTGTGATGCCTGCTGATGCACCCTTCAAGATCCCGAAGCCTGCGGGCTCCCAGGTGCTGTTTGTACACTCCCCCCGAATCCCACGCCCAAGGGTTCAGGGTTTCGGGTTCAGGGTTTAGGGGTTCGGGTTTAGGGCGATGAGGGAATATAAGACCTGTTGCATCTACTTCGGCTTCTTCAAGATCGATATCAAGGCTGGGGGACCCCTGGAGCCAGTTTCCAGATCCTTCGCAGGGATCCAGGAGTCGAGGGTTGACCCTAGACATCTCTAAGCGGACAAAGCCCTTGAATCCCCATGCGATCGGGGGTGGGCCGTCCCCTTTGACTGAGTGTTTCGGGTTTAGGGTTTTGGGCCTTCGGCTTTTGAGAGGTTGAGGGTTTGGGAATCAATCGTCTGTATGTATTTATGTCCCAAAACCCTGAACCCTAAACCTCAATAGACCATGCCGCAGTTTTTGTTGTTGCGGTTCTCCTCACCAGGGCTCCTCGAGCTTCGCTTTAGGCAAGGCAAAGCATCGGTGTTTTTTTTTAGGGTTTAAGGCGGGGGCGGGGGGGCTCGGGTATAGTGTTGCCGAGGCCGCGTACACTTCGGTGCGTCTGCTGACGCGGATGATGCCGTTTGTGCACGAGGTGCGCAGCGGGATATGTATCTTGAGGGCTCAACGCTATACCTATGTCCTGACTTCGTCTGATGAGTCTCGCATAGACACTGGGCTTCGCGACCGAAGGTGAGATATGCATCAGCAAGATGGTAGCGTGACTCTTTGTTCGAGTGCAAGGAAGTGCAGGGACATCGCTGCTACGAAGGCTGAAGGTCCCAAAGAGCCCACTGAGGAACAACGCCGAGTACACGAGATAAAGCACCCGAAACGCTAAACCCTAAGCCCTCAAGGACCTATAGGAACCAATAGGGAATGCATCATTTCGGGTTCAGGGTTTAGGGTTTAACTTCGCAAAGGCCGGCGACGAGCCAGTCATACACGACCTGCTGCGGGGCGCTTGGAGGGCGCCGTTGTTGCGTCATCCGCGCCCTGATGCGCCTCATGGCGTAGTCTCAATAAGTACCGGAAAGATGCCCGGTCGAATGAGGCCGGAGGCATGAGGTTTCAGGCCAAGAGGGGCTCCCGGAAGGCCAAGAGGGGCTCGGAATCTACGATTCCTGTTGCTTTCGTTGAGGTTTCTGAGGGGCCTGGAATTCTATGCATCCGGATATCTGAGGGCTTGTTTACACGTCTCTCTCAAAGCCCCCCAACCTCCAACACCCAAAACCCTTAACCCTCAACCCGAAAGGTTGAACCGCTAAATCCTGAGGTGGCGGCCTGGGGGTATCCCCGAGGCCACAGCGGCAGCATGAGCAGAGTCTCCTGCGGTTTAGGGTTTAAAGGGTTTAGGGTTTGGGGTTTCGGGTTTTGGGGCTTAGAGTCACAAGTAGATCGGTTCTACAAGGGCCCGTGGACCTCCAAACGCTCTTCTCAGGATTTATGTAGGTTTGTTTATGGCAGACCAAGTTTGCGCAAGTTGCTTACATTTGGGGGTCCGAGGGGTATGGAGCTTCAGGGGCGTAGGTTTGGACTGAAGGAGTTCGGGAATCAGGTACCCCTTATATATTTACTCCCTATAAAGAAGGCTTCCATCGGAAGGATATATGGTGCCGAACTCCCCCGGATTCCCTATCAACCTCCCTGGCATCAAGCCTACACTTGGGCCGGACTGCATTTCGGCTCCTGGGGGGGGGGGGGGATTTGTGCTTGGGAAGTGCATCGCCTCGTGCTGCACACCGCCCGAAGGACATCGGGTTTGGGGTTTGGGGTTTAGGGTGTAGGCTTTGGTTGCTAAAGAGTCCAGGGGGAGATCGACTTTAATCTTCAGGCAGGTGCATGTCACTGTAGTTGCCTGAAGCCCCCTAAGCCCAAAACCCTAAGCCTAAGCACTGGGAACCTCAAACCCATGTCCCTGCGGTTGCTATGGCTAGGTAGAGCCCAGGGTTTGGAGGGTCATTGGTGGGGTTCGGTGTCGACAACCTTTGCCAAGTCGCCCAAGCCCCCCAAGAAGCCTCGCGCCCTGCGCCCCAGGGCCTCAAAGGGTCTGAGCAGATCTAAGCCCTAAACCCTAAACCCTAAACCCTAAACCCTAAACCCTAAACCCTAAACCCTAAACCCTAAACCCTAAACCCTAAACCCTAAGCCCTAAGCCCTAAGCCCTAAGCCCTAAGCCCTAAGCCCTAAGCCCTAAACCCCCAGGTTCCCCTGACTAAGAAGCTCCTCCTGCAGTCCTGGATCCCTAGTAAGTTCCTGGTTGCAGGAATCCTCCTTCAGCGGTACTGGGTACCTGTTGGGATGCTCCCCCTTATACTAACAGTCCTTAATGCGGATTATAGTACCCCCTCTTACAATCCCTATCAGGACTGTTTGTAAAAGGGTGCACATCCCAAGGCACCTCGGGTACTTTAGCCGCAGAGTGCCTTGGAACCGTGAGGAACTGAAGCATGGCAGTTGCTATGTCGCGCACCCTGAAGGCTCGCGGGTTCGAGTTTGCACCCTAAACCCTCAATCCCAAACCCCCAAAAACCTAAACCCTAACCCGTACGCCCTACACCCCAAACCCCAAAGAAACCTAAGCAGGGTTGAGGGTTCAGGGTCTAGGGTTTAGGGGTTCCGGTGAGTCTCGTTTTTGCAGGATACAGTTCAGAAGCTATTTTATGAGGGTTTCTTTCAGGCAGCTGACCAAAATTATGTTTTGGGGTTCTTGAGGGTTCGGGGCGTGGTACCGGTAGTTCAGAAGGTAAGGTTCGGGCGCCTGGAGCAAAAGGAGACCCCAAACCGGGGCAGATCCGGGTTCTAGAAGATCGCCCCCGCTCCCCCATACCCATGCCCTTCCGACGCTGGCCGAGCCACGGCCACGGCAGCTCCCGAAGCGATGTCATGCCACCCTCCTAAAATCTTCGAAGACAAAGAGAAAGGCCAGGCATCTGCGGCCGCCTTGGCTTCTGCCAAGGCGCTCCTGGCCTGTGCCACACCGTCACCGCGGCAACGCGGAGAAGAAGCCTCGCGTGCAGACGTAAGCTGGTCCGTGCTTGCGAGACGCCGCCACGGTGGTGGGCTTCGGCATCCAGGCCACAACGACTGGTCGCCTTGCAAAGACGTCCAGTCTTCTTCGTCTAGCGAAAGCTGCGCAAAGAGCCACTGTCGCTCTGCGCCTCTGCAATGCCAGGGTCACTTGCGTGCCCTTACCGCAGGTGCAGCTGCTTGCTTGTATTTCTGTGGCCGGGACACTTTTGTCTCACTTTTCATTGTATTTCTCAAGCTGGTCCATTTTTCGGCGCCGGAGCAAAAGGCAAAACTAGAGAAACTCACGGAGCATACTCAACCAACATCTGCTGTCCACCCGAGCGTCCTCATACGGGCAAACTCCCAGAAACCCTCGTGCAGCGTGTCGGGGAAGCGCAATCAAGACGTGCACTACCTAAAGCTACAAATTTGGCCGAAGATGATCGACAGTTCCCTACAAACCGTAAACCCTAAACCTTCTAAACTCCAAGCCCCAAACCTTAAACCCTCAGACGCAGCTTCTCAAGCCTTCAAAACGCTGCACAAAGGCATCGGCCGTCTCGGAGCGCATCTACTCGCCGACCCCGTCCAGCCTGTGTCCCAGGAGGGTTTCGGGTTTAGGGCACTCCCTATTTGGAGGTGCATGGGTACGATTCATGGGGTTATAAGTGCCTTAACTGTAAGGTCATCAGGTTATCACCCATCATCGCAACTCTACCTACCCTACGTTTTCCTCACCCACCCATGAACCTCCAAGTAGGGTTTAGGGTTCGCTCGTTGGGCTATTCAATACTATTTCCTCTTGTGCTTAAGACAGTCGCATTCCGTCAAGTTCTTCAAGGGGTGACAGGGTGCTCTCCACTTGTTGCTGCTTCGGGGGCGCTTAACCGCTGCATCGCTTAGGGCCCCTCGCCAGCTCTGAACTCTGAACCCGAAGCCCGAAACTCTCCCCCTAAGCCCCCTAAGCCCCCTAAACCCCCTAAGCCCCCTAAACCCCCCAAGTCCCCGGAGCCCCGAAGCCCCCGAAGCCTGCTGTTGCCAAGGCGTTTGCCCTACTGAGTCAACAGCTCCAGGCCGGGACTCTAGGGGCAGGGGGCTTCTCTTGTGCGGGCAGCGAAAGGGGGGGGCTTGCAGATCACGGCATACCTATAAATTCCTATATAGATCCGTATGCCCATCTCTACCACTTGAAGTAGTTGTGCATGAAACTGTATATGTAAAATATATATATATATATATATATATATATATATATATATACACGTACTGCATATATATATATATATATGTTTTTGTGTTTCTGTGTAAGTGTATGTGTATGTATGTATGTATGCATGTATGTAGTACATATACATACATATACATGTGACTTGCGAAGCGCCCTAGGACCGCTGAACCCCGCAAACCCCAGAAACCTGAAGCCCGTTTTTTCCCATCGAGTTTGCGGCGTATTCAAGCCCACATTCGAGCCTTTAAACGGACAGTTTCCAGGACCCATGTCAGACGTCCATTCTTTACACCCTAAACCCTAAACCCTAAGCCCTGAACCCTAAACCCCGAAACCGCAGTACTTAGCCCCCACACCCCTGATGGGGCAGGGGATGTCGGGATGGGGTAAAGAGACGAGGCGAGGCCGACCTCGCCGATTGTGACTCTGAGGGCGAGGGAAGGCCAAGCAGGCGGGAGGGGTTTGGGTTTAGGGTTTAGGGTTTAGGGTTTAGGGTTTGGGGTTTAGGGTTCAGGCCCTTTTGAGTGAGGGCACCCGGGGGCAAACCCAAACCCTAAACCCTACACCCTGAGGCTTCAGGGGTCGGGGTTTAGGGCCACAGCAGAACCCAAAACCCAAAAAACCCCTGAAGCCTAAACCCTCCCTCCCTCTTCCCCGCCAGAGTGTTAGGAGTTGTCCTTCACAACACCAAAAACAGAATTGTTGTTGGATTCCTCTGCAAAAGGATCATTTGTTTTCGGAAGTGGAGTACAGTAAGCCCTCCGCCCTAATTTTAAATCCTGGACTCTTATCCTTAAAAACCCTCAGCCCGAATCCTCCAGGGTTTGGGGCAAGTTTAGGGCTCTAGGGTTTGGGGCATAGGGTTTAGGGTGCTCGGGTTTGGGCATCGGGTTCAGGGCCCTAGATTTTGGGGCGTAGGGTCTAGGGCCCTAGTTTAGGAGTAAGATTTGCAGCATAGGGTTTTGGGCCCTAGGGTTTTTTTGGGCACAGGGTTCAGGGACCTGGGGCTTATTTTTTCGGGGCATAGGGTTTAGGGTTTTTGGGTTTGGGGCAGGTTTGGGGCATGGAGTTCAGGGCCCTCGGGGGGCACAGGTTTAGGGGTCTAGGTATACCTTTTCTAAAGAAAATGAGCAAAAAGAGTTTGTCCCCTTCTTCATTTTTTCCTCGCCCAGCCCCCAGGTTTAGGGGTCTAGGGTTTGGGGCAGAGGGTTTAGGGCCCCTTCAAAGTCCATTGTGGGCCTTTAGCTTTTGGGTTTAGGGTCTAGTGCGGGGCTTGGATGTAGGGTTTAGGGCCCACATGCTTTGAGATTGAGGCCTTCGAATGTATAGAGTGAATTCTCATTTTTCTGAATGTTTTGGAATTCTTGGGTGGGTGGGTATATTTCCGATTCGCAAACGCACTGCTAGACTAGTGGATGCCTGGACTTGAGATGCCAAACCCCAAACCCCAAACCCCAAACCCCAAACCCCAAACCCCAAACCCCAAACCCCAAACCCCAAACCCCAAACCCTAAGCCCTAAACCAGGAGGCTCCGAAAGCTTAGGCGCTTTAGTTCAGGTGCGAGGGCGAGGTCAGGAGTTGGTCGCAGGTCAGTGCGGGCCCTGGCTGGGTCTGACTTTCTGTTTGGGGGGGGGGGGGGGGGGGGGGGGGGTTTAGGGTTTAGGGTTTAGGGTTTCGGGTTTGGGGTTTGGGGATTAGGGTTTGGGGTTTGGGGGTGTGGGGTTGAGGGTCTAGGGTTTGGGGATTGGGGTTTGGGATTTAGGGTTAGGGCTGGGGGGTGAAGATCTGAGATCTGCCGGGTTTGCCAGTCCAATATGCCATGCATGTGTTGCCTGATGCTCAAGGTTCTAGCGGATACTAAAGTCTCGGGTTTTGGGTTTAGGGTTTGGGGTTTGGGGTTTGCTTGGGGTTTAGGGTTTGCTTGGGGTTTAGGGTTTGCGGTTTAGGGTTTGGGGCGGGGGGGGGGGGGGGGGGAGGGTTTGGGGCTTTAGTCAATTGGAAAGGGCATTGTTTGGCGTACTTTCCTTTTGGTGGGGGGAGGGGGCGTGTGGGGCGAGTGCAGAGGGGTTTAAGGGGTTGAAGGGCTTGGTGGCTGTTATGGTCGGTAAAGAGGCTTGTAGGCTTTCGGGTTTGGAGTTTAGGGTTTGAGGGTTGCGGGAAGCTTGGGGTTTGGGGTTTAGCGGTCCAGCCCTAAACTCAACCCTGAACCCAAAACCCGAAAACCCCTCACCGAACTCCAAACCTTAAACCCTAAACCCCAAACCCCAATCCCCAAACCCCAAACCCCCAACCCTAAACCCTAAGCCCTAAACCCTGAACTCCAAACCCCAAACCCTAAGCCTCTCTTGGCCGAGGCGAGCGCCTGCGGGGTCTCTTCTGTGAGCTCGTAGAGGCCCTTGACAGGAGTTCAGGGCTTGTTTGGGCTACTTCGTTTAGAGTTTAGGTTCTAGGGCTTACTTCTGAAAAACTAAGCCCAGTTGTGAAGAGCTTCGGGTTCAGGGTGTAGTGTTTGACTTTACTCAGTTGTAGCTGCAGCTACCGCCCAAGCACAGCCCATGTTTGAGGACTTAGGGGCTTAACAGTGGCTTAGGTCGTAAGTACTTAAGGACTTAGGGGCTTAACAGTGGCTTAGGTCATAAGTACTTAAGCCCGAAGTCCCCTAAACACCTAAACCCTAAACCCTAAGAGCCGAAGGGAGGGCTGCAGATTGGTCAGGAAGACGATGAGGACATGGAGTCCCTTGGGGCAAGGGCCTTGAGCGATTGCTGTCTCGGTGTTTGGCGTTTAGGAGCTCAGGGAATTTCAGGGGAGTTTAGGGAGTTTAGGGGGTTTAGGAAGCCGAGGCAAGTAGGGGGGAGTTTAGCAGGAAGTTCCGGGTTTAGGAAGTTCAGGGTTTAGGGCTTGAGGCTTAGGAGCTTTAGAGCTTTTATCTTCGGGGTGTTCCGAGCACCCTGCCTAACCCTCAAACCCGCATAGCTAAGCCCTCAAGCGTGAGTGCGCATCATTCGCAACTAACGGGCGTTATTCTGGGCATTGATCAAACCCGCGTGTGCCGTGGGCAAGAATCAAAGTACTGTGGGCATTGACAAGGATCAAAGGTTACTGGGGCGATGATCAGTGTGCCCCGGGCGATTATCAAAATGCCATTCGCGCTGGTCAAGATTCCGTGGGCAATGAGCAATGTGCCGTGGACAAAGTTCTTGACATTAGTCAAAGTTTCGTGCGCAAAAATATACATGTTTGAATTTCGGTCTGAAAAGGGTAGGAGCAAAGACTGCTGGCTTTGGCTTGAGGAAGACTCTTTTGGGTAAACTAGTTTTCTAATGTCGTGGGACCCGATGGGCGGGTATGCTTCCGTCGCTTGACGAGTTGCTTGACCAGTGAACGAGTGAATGCTTCCTAAACCCATGCTCGACCCTTATACCCCCCCTTCCTTGTACCCCCGCTTATACCCTCTTGTACCCCCACCCTAAACCCTCAACCCGGGGTTTTTCAGGGAGACCTGTGCCCTTGAGCAGACCCTCTCTCAGGCTCCTTTCGCTCCTTTCAGCAGCGTCCTGTCGCCGATGGCCGCGGACTCAGGGAAGCAACCCTCAACCCTGAACCCTAAGCGCTAAGCCCTATATAAACCCTAAACCAGAAACCCTAAGCCCTAAGCCCTAAACCTAGGCTTCAGATTTCGGGGCGGGGCGGGGGGCGGGAGTGTTGCGCTTTGTGGTTTGAAGACCAAAGAGAACTGGGTGTTCGGGTTTGGGTTTAGTGGTTTAGGGTTTATGAAGGCAATTGATTAAGTTTACGGTTTGAGGGGTTAGGGGTTTAGGATGGGGGGGATACAATGGGTTTAGGGTTTGGGGTGGCTAAGGGTTTGAGAACCCAACTTAAGTTACTTTAAAATATGGGTTGCAGCTGGCCTCAGGCAGAAGAAAGTTCGGTAGCGAAGTCCTTCTTCGAACAGGCAGGGCGCACGCGACGGGCATGGTTTGGAGTTTAGGGCTTGGGGACTTTTGCTTATGGTCGGCAATGGCCGGGCTGATTCTAAATGACGGGTGTCCTCCTCCTATTACGACACAGTGCCTTACAGTCTAAACAGTTTAGTACATTGAATGTGGTGGGCATGCGGGTCTTCAAACGGGGATTCTTGGCACCTTGCCCCTCCTAAGGGTCCTTCAGACTTCAACTCCGGGAGAGGCGTCAAAACACCTTAAACCCTAAACCCTAAACCCTAAACCCTAAACCCTAAACCCCAAACCCTAAACCCTAAACCCTCATTCCTGGGCCCTAAGCCGGACGTCGATGGCTTCGGAGCCACTCTCGGGACGGCCAAGCAAGACCCCCCCCCCCCACATCGCCGCCCCAGGAATCCGCGGAAGGTGAAGAGTGTGATGTACAGAACGAATCGTCCAGGGCCCGGACATCAGGGTTTAGGGTTTAGGGTTTAGGTTTTTTCCCCCGAAGTCCCTCCTAATTTCTTCATGGCTGTGTAGCAAGTGCAGCTGTGCTTGAGTAGCCCCAGACCAGCCCGCCTTACAAGGGTTCCCAGCCAGGCGTGAGTCCCAGCCGTGGCTGGAGGCAAGCCGAATCATCTCTCCACCCTAAACCCTAAACCCTAAACCTCAAACCCTAAATCCTAAACCCTAAACCCTAAACCCCAAACCCTAAAGCCCTGCAGATTCTGCTTCAGGCCTCTGGCTTCTGAGGAGCTGCTCGAGCCCATCTCCGTGAAAGATTGGCACGCCGTAGGCCCACACAACCTTAGGGGGGGGGTTTAGGGTTTAGGGTTTAGGGGTTAGGGTTTAGGGTTTAAGGGGTTTAGGGCTTAGGGTTTTAGCTTTTAGGCTTTCAGGGCGAAGGGTCTTTTTTCAAACCTCCTTGGAGCTGGGGCTGAGGGTTTAGGGCTCAGGGTTTAGGGCTTAGAGGGTTGGACGGTCAGCTGACCGGGACCCCATGAGCCACATACATCGAACAATTATGAGGTCCTGCTCCCTAAGCTCTCTGACATCCAGGGTGGACTTGGTTGTTGGGGCCTTCTCGTTTGGCGGGCTCCCTGTTTGCAGCTTTTGTGGACATCTTCGGAGGTCGGTTTTTTTCCTAAAGACTCAACCCTTAACCCTTAGCCTGAGGAGGCCTCTCTAAACCCTTCCATGGCTATGTATGGCGTGCAAGGGGTTTGTGGGACCCAAGCACTTATGCGTCAATCCGAAGAACCCTGGTACGTAGGGTTATACGAAGGGCGTTTAGAGTTCTATTTGGTTACGACGTTGTTTTAGGGTAGTTTGCTTGCAACCCTATTTGGAACCACCTAGGAACCTTCAAGTAAACCTACACCGTAGTACTTGGAAGCTGTGCTGATAACCACAGTATCTGGGGTTGATTTGGACATACTAGTAGCTTCTATGGGACTACCCCTGAACCCTGAATCTATCGGCCCCGTTAGGAATGATGTCAGTTTGTTGCATATGGATTTCTCTGGGAAGTGGAAGCAAGTATTCGCTAAAATGGGGTAGAGGTAAGAAAAGGGAGACCCCCCAGAGCCCTTAACAGGGTTTAGGGGGTTTAGGGGTATTGGGGTTTAGGGTTTGGGGGGTTTAGGGTTTAGGGTTTAGGGTTTACGTAGGGTTTGGGGTTTAGGGTTTAGGGTTTAGGGTTTAGGGTTTAGGGTTTAGGGTTTAGGGTTTAGGGAACCTGAGAACCCGAAAAGCAGGCTGTCGATTGGCCCACATCTTACACCAATGTGCTATGGAAGACTCGGACGACGAGGCCCGGCCTAGAGCCCCTCAGGGACAACGCGTGCCACAGTCAAATAGGGGCCTTTAGAATTAGAATAGGGTTTGGGGGATCTTGTAGTATAATTGCAAAGGGACCATAAGGGAATACTACTAGTAATTATTCCGACCCCTTTTTTTAGTTTTTGTGTAGGGTTTTCGGGGTTGAGGGTTGTTTAGGGTTTTGGGTGCTTGAGGGTTGTTTAGGCACCAGGGTGTAGGATTCAGGGTTGTCCGCTGTGGTTAGAGCAGTATGTGGGCAATACAGGGATCGGAATAATTACTAATAGTAGTCCCTTAGGGTCCCTTTAGAATTACAATATAATAAACCCCCCAAAACCCTACTCGAATTATTCAGGCCCCTATAATAGATGATCCCAATGTTAGGGTTCGTGTTGTCCCATGGATGTCGTAGTCTCTTGCAGGGTTTGGGTTAATGCACCCAACTTTGCACAAGGAAGCCCTAAACCCCAAGCCTTAAGCCCTAAACCCTAAACCCCAAACCCCAAACCCCAAACCCCAAACCCTAAACCCTAAACCCTAAACCCCCAACCCTAAACCCTAAACCCTAAACCCTAAACCCCAAACCCCCAAACCTTCAAACCCCACACCGACCAGGATCTGCCTCAGAACCGCGAGGATCCCGACGAAGATGAAGCCGAAGCCGAGCCCGAGCCCATGTAAGCCGTAGGGGGCCCTTGCAGAGACAGGACAGGGTTTAGGGTTTAGGGTTTAGGTTTTAGGGTTTAGGGTTTAGGGTTTAGGGTTTACGGTTTAGGGTTTAGGGTTTAGGGTTTAGGGTGATTCGTAGTCGTAAAGATGGTAGTGCCGTAGTAGTATATCGTAGTGGTAGTGGCAGTTGTAGCAGTGGGGGCCGCGGTGGTTGGGGTGGTGATGATGCTGGTCATGACCTCCTTTCGTACCCCGCACAGTGATGTTGGAAAACTTGAAAACCCTAAACCCCGAACCCTAAACACTAAAGCCTAAACCCTAACGCTAAACCCTGTACCCTTTACCCTTCACCCTAAACCCCAAACCCCAAACCCTAAACTCTAAACCCTAAACCCTACAGCTAAGCCCTTTGCCCTTTACCCTTTACCCCAAACCCTAAACCTTACGAGAGGAATTGGGGGGTCGAATGCAGGAGGCACCCTGTCGTGCATGGCACCATCGGGCTCCGAAATCTACCGATTGCAGCTGAGCTCCCTTTGCCCCGAGTCTCCGCCAAGGGCGGTAAGCGACTTGGGGCTCGTGGCCCCCTGATGGTTTAGGGTTTAGGGTTTAGGGTTTAGGGCTTAGGGGCTTTGTGAGTACTTGTGGCTAGCATCTTCGACCTGTTCACCACTCTTTTGCTACACATGGTGCTTCACAGGGGAGGGGAGATTTCCTGCAGCTTTGAATGCGCGCGTTTCGCGAAATCAGGTCCCACTGCAGGCTTTGCGCATTTTTTCCTGTGCTAAGCCCTCAGCTGTAAGCCCTCAGCTGTAAGCCCTCAGCTGTAAGCCCTCAGCCCTAAAGCCCTAAGCCCGGCAGGCTGTACTTAAAGCATCTTCAGACCCTTCAGCCCTTCAGCTTGCCAGCTCAACTATCGGGACAGGAATTCGGAGACGCATTTGGACACTACCCCTGGAGTGCACTGCGCCTCCAGAGGCTTCAGACCAAGTCCCTGCCCAGGGGCGGGCCTACCATGGAGCAAGGGCTTGGGGAGCAGCCGTGGAGTTTAGGGCTTCGAGGGGCTTAGGGTTTACATCTGCTGAGCTGTCCTAGTTGTCCTTGAGCGAGTTTCTCAATCGCACGTCAAGTTGCTTGAGTTCGATGGTTTTCAGGAGTTTGGTAAGTGTTGGGTTTGATTCCTTGGGCACTTGCCTTTGCGACGTTTACGTTGTCCTCGCACTTTGGTGTGTGTCAGCATGCGGCTCCCAAGGGCGACGCCGGATTCCTTGCTGGCCAGTAGAACACAGTAGAACAGCACTCTCCTTAGGCATTTGTCACCACAACGTTGTTTATGGGGATGGTTCCCAGAGGCCTGTAGAACAGCTACCTTCGATCCGCTCGCAGTCGCGGCAGCTTGCCGGAGTTGATGCCAAAGAGAGGTTTCTGAAACGACGACTCCAGCTCGCTCCTTGCCATAGGGTCAGCTCTCTTAGTCATGGTCCCCTTTTTTGGGTACCCCCCAAATCACCTTGGCCCCCCCACCCCCCCTCCAAAAAAAAGGGAAACCAGATAAGGAAGGGACCATGTGGGGCAGTGAGGGTCCCCCTAAATACAAGATAGTGGGATGGAAAAAAGAAGACCGGAGAAGGGGACCTGTCCAGAACCTCAGTGTGAGACCCTAGACCCTAAACCCTGAACCCTGAACCCTAAACCCTTAACCCTAAACCCTAAACCCTTAACCCTAAACCCTAAACCCTTAACCCTAAACCCTAAACCCTAAACCCTAAACCCTAAACCCTAAACCCTAAACCCCAGAGAAAGGTGTGGAGACCCGGCCTCCCCGGCTCCTTGCCCCTGACGAGTCACGCTGCGACCTGGAAGCCGAGCTCGGACCGCATCCGGAGGGCCAGATGATTGGGGTTCAGGGTTTAGGGTTTAGGGTTTAGGGTTTAGGGTTTAGGGTTTAGGGTTTAGGGTTTAGGGTTTAAGGGTTTGCCATGATATAGCAGAAGCTGTGAAGGTTACGTGATGCGGACTAAAATACTCCTCCGTCCAGTGCCCGTCTGGGTCATCCCAGCAACCCCTTGGGCTATGGAAGCGGCCCAGGTGGCTGGAAATTTCTGGGTTTAGCGCACGGAAGGTCCCCGCAAAAGTTTGGGGTATTCTTCGATTCATGAGGGATATCGCATACTTTCGGGATATTTTAGGGAACCTTCGATGGGACGGTTTCATCCTTTCACGATAAAACAAAGCGCCTTCCGAGCTCGGAGTGTGTGGGTCTCCCGTGCTTCGCTGCTGCGCTGCCTCTGGCGTACCGTAGCACCGTGACCCGTAGCCTCTGAGCCGGCATCTTCGAAGCGGTTTAGGGGTCTAGGGTTTAGGGTTTAGGGTTTATGCCCAGCCTTCTTCTCACTCCGGGGGGCTTTGAGCCACACAGCCTTCTACAAAGTTGGAGACCTCACGATCTGCAGACTAGCAGGATCCCACATCAGCTGTAGCAGGTACTGGCAGTGAAGGCACCCCCCCCCCTTGTTGCAAGGACAGCGTCATATCCTTTCGGCCCGAGTTACGAGGTCTGATAGATCTGGGGCTCTAGCCCTAAACCCTAACCCTAAACCCTAAACCCTAAACCCTAAACCCTAAACCCTAAACCCTAAACCCTAAACCCTAAACCCTAAACCCTAAACCCTAAACCCTAAACCCTGAGGGCACGGCTAACGCCCGGGTGATGGTGCGCAGCGGCGGAGCGCAACGTGTATATACAGACGCCGTTGTGGAGCATGGCGTATGCTTGGACGCAGAACCCCTTCGGACTCCTCCGGAGACCCACAGACTACGAATTGCTTAAGAACCCCCACATAGCAATATGGGGTTTAGGGTTTAGGGTTTAGGATAGGGATGATTATTTTGGATTTTTGGGGGTTCTTAAGCAACTAGTAGCAGATGCTGAAGCTGTTCCGACCAGGTTCAGAACAGCCGAAGCCCATCTCAACAGATCCCCAGGACCGGTCGAGTCGGACGCAAGTCTCAAACCCCGAACCCTAAACTCTAGACCCTAAACCCTAAACCCTAAACCCTAAACCCAAAACCTAAACCCTAAACCCTAAACCCTATACCCTAAACCCTAAACCCTAAACCCTCAACCTAGAGGTTCCGAAGGCTTTACAGGTTCTATGAACAGTTTAGGGTTGGGAACTCTCTGATCAGGGAACCTCTCCCAGCCCAAGGGTCCTCCTCCTGCTGCTTTGCAGCTCTTAGGGTTTAGGGTCTAGGGTTGATGCCCAAATCCTACGCCTGCGCATCTCAACCCACCTGAAATCTGCGGCCTTGGGTTCCCCTATGAGCCCAGGGTACTTGTGCCCTGGACTGTGCAACTTGATGTAGATTTTGGGGGGTTCACGGGTTTTGGGAGCTTAGGGGTTTTGTGGATTCAGGCGTTTTGGGGGTTTAGAGGGGTTATGCCGAAACAACATGCATGGTGCTCAGCGGTGGTTGTCTGACTCGATGCACCATGGCTTGGGAATCTCTGCTTTGGATATGTCTCAATACTCGGTGCGAGCTCGTAATCACCAAGATGGTTGAGTATAGCGGAGCCATGCAGAACATGCCTTGGAAAATTGAGACACGCCCATTTCGCGAAAAAAACATGAGGCCGACAATTCACGCGACCTCGGGAGGTTTCACAGAAAATCCCGGTGATTTGTTGGGTCCTAACTTAACACCCCAATCTCGAAGGCTTTGACGACGCGTGAGACTGGATGTCACGGGACGTCTTATCATCCCGAGAGTGCATGAGAGTGCATGCTGACCGCCTCTGAGCCCCAAGACCAATGCCCTTAACCCTCCTCAACCCCCTTACCCCCTTTGCCCCCTTCACCCCCTTCACCCCCTTTACCCCCTTCATCACCTTTACCCCGTTTACCCCTTACCCCCCTTACCCTAAACCCAAAAGCCTGTTCAGAGCATCCAACAGAGCCACCCAGTCGTTGCTACTGTGCCCTTGACTCTGAATATTGGGTTTAGGGGTTAGGTTTTTTTTTAGATGGGAGTATAGATCGCGCGCGCACGTACGTGGGTGTGCGTGTGTTTATATATATATATATATAAGAAAACAGATAGACAGATACGCAGAATTGAATAGAAGCCTGTGTATATGGTGTATTCATCGACATCTCGGTACATAGATACAGCTATGAGGTGTATAGAGGAGATACGCGAGTATACACAAGGGCTCTACATAGGATATCCTCCGCAAGGGCACCTGCATGGTGGCCTGAAGCCTAACCCAAACCACAGAGGGGGGGGAAGGGGGCGGGATCCGGCGATGGGCATAGGGGTTTAGGGTACAGGGTTTAGGGTGTGCTTACAGGGGTATCGGTGTATGTAAGGATGCAAAGTCGCTAAGTGTGCAGACTTGTCCTTGGTCGTCACGGGACCTTCTGCAACCCGAGCCGCATTCGGAGGTTGCTGGAAAAACTCCGAAGGAAGCTTGCGCACCACACCCAAAGCCCGAGACTTTTCAAGCAACCTCTCATCAGGTTTTGGGCAGCTGCAGCTGCAGCTGCTGGCGGAAACCCGCAGTACCTCCCAACCCCCCCCCGAATCCCTACCCAAACCGGATCGGGCCCTTTTCGGCATGCTACAATGGGTTTCGGCAACGACAAGCAAGGTACAGGCTTGCCATTGTAAGCCGGCCAAGATCAGGTGACCCAAATTTTGACGTCCGTTTCCATGCGTTTAAGGTTTAGGGTTTAGGGTTTCTCTGCCTCCACCAAGATCACGTACTCTGGACGTCGCTGCAAAGTGTCAGGCGCCTGATCTACGCGGAACCGCGATCGGATTTTGAGACCCTCTTGCCCCAGACGTGATGGCTTCAAGCCTGAACGCCAGAAGATTGCCCCACATCCCGCCATCCCAGCGCACGAGAGGGTAGGGGGATACACCCACCAGTGAATTTCGGCGCCCTCTTGTCAGCGCATGCTGCTCGAAGCCCATAGCCCAACACCCTACACCCTAAACCCTAAATCCAA